CTTTTAAGCACTTTTTTAGTTTTGGTGGTGTTTGGAAAGGTTAAAAAGTTCTTTTAAGCACTCACTTTTAGGCCAAAAAAGTTTACAAATAAGCCAAAAGCCAAAAGCCAAAAGTAGGGTATCCTCTACTTATGACTGATAAATTACTTTTTATTAGCCCATCCAAATAGGCCCTTAGTGCTATGCCAAATGAACCTAATTTAACAAATCCTTTATGATATCCTATATTCTCATGGACCATGACTCATAACCAAGTAAGATGCTCTAGTAACTAACTCTAATTTGAATGCTTGTGGTTTGCAAGTACCCAATCTAAGAACAAGTCAAATCAATCATCTCAAGCAAATAACATTCAAAATAAACTGATCAACTCAATGCGTGAATCCAAGTTCCTTTGAATTGCCAACCAATTTAATTGGTGGCCGAGCAATTACATTATTAGGATTCAAAATTGGACACACAATCCAACTTCCAATACATTAATACTTAGAAAGAAGTAGTTCATAATCCAAATTACAGACCAGCTTGAAAAAAGTGCATCAACAACAAAGGATATTTTTTCTTTTAAGGAACAAAGAAAATCATACAAAGGTTTTGAACTTGGAGAACTAAAGTGAGAAGAAAAGGTTGAAGGAAAAAAAGATAAAGAGGAAGAAAATAGTGAAGGATAAGTCTCCTACTGATAGTTTTCCAAGCTCTTTTTTTTGATGAAGAGCTTTCCAAGCTCATTTTTCCTTCAAAATATGCTTGTCCATCCCATTTTCCTTGTTTTTTTTTGAAATAGATAACTTTTTATTCACGCAAAAGAACTCGTCAAAATCAATGAGGTGGGATGTACAAACCCCCAGGGGGTGCCATCATACTCAAAATCCAAAAAGACAAACTTTCAAAAATTTACAACTGGCTTATAAACTCCACAAGGCTATCTACTTCCCCAACTAAATTTTGCTTACACCAAAAATACAAAAGTCTAAGACTTTCCTGTGAACTGCTAACCTTTCCTTCATAACATCTCTCATTCCTTTCTTTCCATAGAGTCCACCATATGCAAGCAAGGATGTTTTTCCACCAATCTTCCTTTGATCCTCTCGTTCCAATTCCTTGCCAGTGTCCCATTTTCCTTAAAAAAGACATCCTTTAAGTGGCCTAGTGGTTAGTGTAGTAGATTGGAGAACCATGAGGTCTCATGTTCAAATTTCAGTGGATGCAAAAAAAACACTAGGTAATTTCTTTCATCTCTCCATGCCTTGGCGGATAGAGTTATCCGGTACGTGTGCTAGTTGGATGTTACAAGTACCCAGTGAAACTAGTGCATGAAAGTTGGTTAGGACTCCAGAATTATTAAAAAAACAACATCTCTTAAGTGTTCTTAGATTTTAATTTAAAGATCCATCCTAGTGGCAATTCTGAACTTCCACAACAACGGGGCACTAAGGTGTGAAGAGTTTGTTGCCTAGGGGTGGGTGGCAAGGGAGTGAGAGTTTCATCGAAAGGATTCTCCACCTGCCACCTTGAGGTTGGGGGTTGGGGTCACCAGAAAAGCAATCTTGGAAAAAATCACTGATGAACTGGGCAGTGGATATGGGGATGAGTTCTACCATATCAAAAAATAGTTTACTCAGGTCACCTGCCAGTGCCTAGGTACCCAAACCCAGAGCCTAGGTGTTGTAATCTTCAGAACCTCAGACACCCAAGTGTGTGGACAAGTGGTCAATGAAGTGGGTTGAGCCACTTAAAACACTCAATTTAGTATATCCTTTATATTTTATATTTATATTTCTATTTATTTATACTGTATTAAAAGCAAGAACTCCAACAATAACTAAGCAATGAATTATAGGGGATGGAGGAGAAGATATATTTAAGAAGTGTAATTAAGAGATTTTAAGAGTGACATTTTTATTTTTATCACAATTGATTTTAAAAGGAGAAAAAACATAAATGTAATAAGTAATTTGAGGCCATAGAGAACTGCCACACCACCTTATCTATATCTAAGTTTTATATTATAAAAAAAATTTGATTTTAAAAGGAGAAAAAACATAAATGTAATAAGTAATTTGAGGCCATAGAGAACTGCCACACCACCTTATCTATATCTAAGTTTTATATTATAAAAAATAGATATAAATGTTTTGGGATATTGATTTCACAACTCTCAGTCTGCACACTGTAGTAATCATAAGAAAACTTATATCCATTATTCATAGAAACTTTTACTTTATTTTTTCATTTAAAACTTAAATTATTGGTTTATTAATATTGACATTATTTTAAAACACAGTGTACTACATTATTTGTTATTCACGTGCATCAAACTAGTATATATATATATATGTATATATGAAAAAAGTTAATAACCTGCTATAGCAGGTCAATGTTATCTGATATTGCAAAAAAGTGTATAAGTGATACACTGACAGCGCGTCAACCTTAAAACTCACCTCCATTATGCCATTATGAATCCCACATAGTATTTTTTTTTTTTTTTTTTTGAAAAGGTTAGTAAGTTATATATTCAAAAGTGGAACAACTTAGCACTAAGGTGGTGCAGAGGCCGTATACATATTTGGAACCCCTCTATACAGAACAAAAAGAAGTGTCCTACTGTGGAAGTCTTATCCTTGTAAAGATTCTATGTAATTTATCATGGTATTTTCATCCTTTACATTTCGCATATTACACCCAAAAAGCCAAAAAATTCCCACCTATTCTTATATGTGTAGCAGTAAGCAGTTAACCCATTAGCATGTCCTGTATCCTTTGAGTGTGATGAAGTTTGATTGGAATTCAATATGTGCAGCAAAAAACTTGCCAAAAAGGAAGGGGCTCGGATAGACCGTAATCGTGACATCGAACGCTTATGGGAATTTTATCAGCAATACAAAAGGCGGCACAAAGTGGACGATATTCAAAGAGAGGAGCAAAAATGGCGTGAATCTGGAGCAGTTAGTGCTAATATAGGAGAGTATGTTTCTGTTACTCCTGTATCTGAGTGTTACTTTGCATACTTCGTATTCGTCTTTGGTGTATTTTGCAGTAAGGAGTGATTGGTTTGCTGATTCAGTTGCTCAAGATTGTTCTTGTCTGAGAGATGAAATTAATCTTCTTTTTAAAATTAAATCGGGTTGTAAGAATCTTGTCAAACTTTTCATGATAATGATGTGAATTTAAGGCTTGAAACGTCTGATACTGAAACATTTGATTGCAGCATTATGCATCATAGGAGGATTTTCTATCATTCATCAGGAATCTGTTTTTAATCTTTGTAGTATGCACTACTAAATATCCATAGAGAAATAGTAATATGTCATTAAATCTTGTCAGCTTAAATTGTCGTTTATAGCCTTGAAGATATTCTGTAGTTTCATGTGACATTCTGCAGCATTCAAACTCAGACACTTGTCATTGTTTGCCTTGGTGTCCTTTCAGTGGGTTGGTTAATGTTTAGGAATCATAGTAAAAAGTGGCTTGGTCTGCTGAGGCATCTTTTCTGTCCATCTTCTATTTGCTGCAGTGCTTTGAGACAGATGTCTCTCATTAACTGACTGAAGCTTTCTTCCAGTTGGCTAGCATATTCACTTTCAGCATATAATCTATATCATTATCAAAATTGCGACAGCATTGAATTTTTATTGATGAATAGTCATTTATTATCCAGAAGTTGGGGGTGGAACTTAGATTTTCTGTTGATCCTTGCTTGCTGTTTTTGTAAACAAAAAAGCTTCACCCATTATTTTTCTTTTATTCTTTCTAGGTTGGGACTTAGATTTTCTGAAATGAGAAAGGTATTCGCTACCTTGAGGGCTGTGGTTGAAGTGATGGAGTATCTGAGCAAAGATGCAGCTCCTGATGGTGTGGGAAGGCTTATAATGGAGGAGGTAATATTTCCTTTCATTTTTTGTATTTCTGTCTGTGTATAGTCTGGGACTAGTTTCCTACTTATGACTTCTTTCATGGTTTGGTCAGTTGAGAAGGATCAAGAAATCTGATGCTACTTTATCGGGGAACTTGCACCATACAATATTGTTCCTCTAGAGGCACCATCGTTGACCAATGCTATTGGTTTCTTCCCAGAGGTAAGAATGTTGATTTTACCTTTATTGTATGACCACTCTGCAGGAAGATTTCCCATTCTGCTTTATCACTAGTATCACATAAACAACTTCATCTTCTTTACTCCTTGTGTTTGCAATTTGTTTGATTTCTTTACCTTAGACAACAATATCTTCCATCTTTGCCAAAATGCAAAATATTTTTACCTTGATGTGCGATCTACTCAACAATTAACCACTTTTACTCACTACTATAATTTGAAGCATATATCTAGGTAGCTCCTATATCCATTTGGAACTTTCTTAGTTTCTATTGCTAGTCATACCAGAAAAGGGTTGTGTTACGTAGGTACTTGTGTGCAAATATATTCAGGCAGACTCGGTATTTATTTGTTATGCCTATTTGTTCGTCAAATTTATCAATCTCCTAACCATTCCCCTTTTATCAGTTCATCTTTAGCTCCAAGTTCTATTCTGAATTGTGGCCTTATTTTTTATTTGGTTGTATGACCTGATTTTATTCCCGTCTCTCTTCATTGAGGGTTCCTTACAACAGGTTTGTGAATACCAGTGCCCTCTTCCATTGCTTAAAACCTATTTAATGTTAGAAGAATGCGGGCTTGAGTGTCTGACACTACTGAAGCTGATAAGGACAAACTGCATGTTATTCTTGTCACCTGTATAATTGGCCTTCTGGTTAATTTAAATTAGTTTCTGAACTTGAGTATTGAGTGTTAGGTTTCCTTTTATTTTGGGACTACACTTCTTTGCTGCAGTTGGAGGTTCATCTATTCTTCAATATGTCTATATGCTTGGCTGCATTTGAAGAATAATCTATCCTTCAATATTTCTACAGATCCGTTATATACATTCATGTATTGTGTCAGAGAGAAATAATTGTACTGGGAAACATATGCAGGTTCAGGGTGCCATATCAGCAGTTAAGTACACTGAGCAGTTCCCTCAGCTACCCGCTGGTTTTGATATTCCTGGACAGCGGCATATGGATATGTTTGATCTTTTAGAATATGTCTTTGGCTTTCAGGTTGGTGCTTAATATCATTTTGAGATGCCTTATTTCTAATTTTTCTATGTAAGACACTCAAAATGAATTTGTGAGCTTCACTTTACCAAATTTAGTATTTGCAATTTGATTAGTGATCTTCTCTTATTGGCTATTAAAAAAATGTCTCATATATCCTGCCTTCCGAAATACATTGTAGGGCATGTATAAATATGAGGCATTACTTTTGTTCTCTAACAAAACCAAATACTGTCATATTGCATAATTCCTTGTTGTAACTTTGCAAAATTTCCTTCATCAGATAATATTGGTAAGTAGTCAAATTTCAAGATATTTGTACTAGTGGAATGCTTTAGCAGAGCTTTGACCGTCACGAGAACTTCTTTAGCTGTAAAAAGTGTTCTTATGGGAAAAGTTGGTAATTTCGATTCCACGGAGGCCTCGTGGTTTTGAGTTGGGTTGCTGCTCCTTTGGCACAACATTCTTGCTAAACCAGTCTCACTGGAACTGCATCGGATTGTATTTTGTACCTCTTTATGCAAGTTGCAGATGGAAGTGACCAACTGTAGGATAGCCAAAGCCAATTATGTAAATTTGACCTTTAGCTCTAGTGGTTTCATGTCCTATAACTTTAGTTCTAACCTGCTACTATGTTGAATTGTGTCACTATTCTTGCTGATCTGGATTTTTCTTATGTGCAGAAAGACAATGTAAGGAACCAGCGCGAGAATGTCATCCTCATTGTTGCAAATGCCCAGTCACGACTTGAGATACCTGTTGAGGCAGATCCAGTGAGTTTTAAATAGTGCTTGAATTTTCAATTTTTTCTTTTGATTAATACAAGTCTTCAGTTTATTGAAGGGGTAAAAGCTCTGTGTACAATTTTATATACAAAATAAGAGTTATATGGAAATGTTTAGGAGATTTGCTCACTAGGGGTCGTTTGGTAGAATGTATTAGCAAAAATAATGCATGCATTAACTCTGTGTATTAGTAATACATTGTTTGGTACATTTTTTCATGCTATGTATAACTAATGCATTAGTTATACACTCTATTGTGTTTTAAGGTGTGTATTAGTATTACTAATACCATGAATTTCTAGGTATTAGTAATGCATGCATTAGCATAGTTAAAAACCCTATTGCCTCTCAAAGTCTTTTTTACTTCTTTTCCACCATAATTGTGAAGGGTATCATTGTAAATAAATATTCTCATGCAATGCATGCCATTTTTAATACACCAAACTAAACAATGCATAAGAAATTATCTATGTATAATTAATGCAAGCATTACTAATACACTTTATTTAGCATTATTCTTTTACACTCTACGTACATTATTCTTTATTTCTCGACTAGATATCCCATAGTTGACTGATAATCAAGAAGGTGAAGTCAGCCATTTTCAATATATTACTTTCAATTTTTTTCCGTCTTTCATCATGTCTTGCTTATTAATATTGATAATTCCTTGGATATCTATTATATTTTCAACCATCTAACCACAATTATAAAGCTGTCTTAGCTTGCTTTTGGACATGGTGATTTAAAATCATGACTTCATATAGCGATTTGGGATCATGTTCCGATATCTTGTTTATGAATTATGGTTTGCTCATTTGGTAAGATTGTTTATGGAATTTGCTTTGAAATATTTCTAGCTGTTAATTACTGTAATTTATAGTACTTTCTAAGAAATTTTCAAATAATATATATTATTTCATTTGTCCCAATTTATGTGTCACCGATAAAATTTGAAAACAGATCTTTTATATATTTTTATATCTTTTAAATATTTAAGTATTTAATTATCGTGATTCATAATATTTTATAGAATTATTTAGTATAGTAAAATAAATTTAAAAGAAACAAACAAAACGAATTCATCATAGGAAATTACCAAAGCATCCTTCAATACATCAATTATGGGTCCGACTTTTTGTTTTTAAGAAATTGCACATTCTAAGGATATTTTTGTCCAAAGTGGAAATATTGTGTAAAAAAATGTGTATTTATTGTGATTTTGAATGTTTTGTGGGGTAATAGGACGCACGCAAAGTTAAGGTGTCTTTTTGAAAATCTGGGACAACTTCAAGTATCACTTAATGTTTTTTCTCAAAATCTAATTTACTTTCGTAAACTATGTGTCAGATCAAAATCAGATTAACAAATTCAAAAGGAATGAGTAATAAATAGCTCATACAATGACATATTTATTATTTAAAAGAAGTACTCCTTTTGGTTGAAAGCTAACAAGATAGTTACAATGTAACTAAATACTATAAAAATCTTTGCATTGTGACTTATTTTATATATCAACCAACATTTGTCATGTGTTAAGTAGTAGATATTCCCACTTATTATATATAGTATATATATATATATATATATAAATGGGCCCAAATGAGGTAGGTAATTAATGATGTTAAATTGCCCAATAATATAAATTTTAAAGGTACAACCATAAAAGAAGAATGTACAACACTATCTAAGCACATATCATTCAACACTTGTCATGTGCTAAGTAGTAGATATTCCCACTTATTATATATAGTAATATAAAATAATACACATTTTATATATAAATGATACATATATTTTATAATCAAGTTAATTTTTCTTTTTGAAGATTACGTATGAAGGTTTATTTTGCAAGGCTAGATTTACATCATAAAGCGTAATTTTATATTTAAACATGTTAAGCGCTAATATTCAGAGGCTCATTTAATAAATTCAATACAAATTCTATATCAAAGTTTTTAATTAATATTATAAACTTTCGAAAATTTTAACATATGAATATATTTGTTTGTACCAACACAATTCACATGTCAAAATTCCTTATTAACATCATTGACTCTCAAATTCTTTACAAATGAATGATAAATAATCGATATATAGAAATATGATACGATTGAAAGTAACTTAAGTGAAAATGCATAATATTGCATATTATTTACTAATTAAGAACAACATGAAAACGAATATTATTTGAACATTTCTTCTAAAATTAAATGGTTGAAAATTTATTCAGGTCGAAAAATAAATTTAGAGTTTGAAAATAAAATATAATATTTGATACACAAAATATCTACTATGCGTAAAACTCGAAAAAAAGACTAGGTATCTGTATTTTTGTACGAGATTATTTTAACCACTCAAACATATAATAACGTTCTAATTATCACAATAATTTTATCAGTTACGTCAATACTGTCATCTTAATGTGAGGCCAATATCTCTCATAAAATTCCTTTTATTCACAAATTTATTACTCTTCAAAATTTCAGTCACCATGAAATTGACTACTTGTAGCTTATCTACAAACTCCATATCTCCATTGTTGTACAGAAACTCAAAATCAGCTTCAATAATCAAATGGGTTCCTCAATTTCAGCCTATTCGGGTCAAATTCCGGGTCGATCTGTCAAACGGGCCGGCTCGGTTCTCTCATTCATCGGTTCGTGCTTCATCGCCGGCGATTCAATCGGACGTTGATTCAAAATTACAAATTGTAGAGGAAAATATAGAGAAGGTGAGATTAAATCTGCTTTACCAATTGAATGAGAAGTTGTTTATAGGTTTTTGAATTTGATTGACGGACTTCGATTGATTTGAAATTTGATGGGTAATTAGAAATGACACGGTGACCAATAAAGATACTCTCAATATAATATAATATGATTTATTTAACATATTTGTTTTAGTCGATTTTAAAAAAATGATCCTTTTGTATTTGGCAACTTTTTTTAAATTTAATTTTACACGTGACATATTTAAAATCAAAAGATTAAATAATATTTTGACATATTTGATATATCTTTAATTTTAAATCACAATATTCAAAAATATTCTTTATTTTTTAAAACTCGATGCCAAATTAAAATATATCAAAGAAATTAAAAGGAAAACTTTTTGTATGAGACTTTATTCACGCACACTTAATCATCATTTATAAACGAAGTTTATGTGACTCATCACCATTCGTGAACTAATTTGGAGATTAATTATGTGTCACCTATTGAGTATCACCTAAGTCCATAACTTTTTTTGATGTATGGGAATCATCAACTCTGGTACTAATTGTTAGGAAAAGTAAGCGTAAAATAATCTTAACATGGTGTGTTACTGTCCGTTATATCCAAGCCCGTGTGGTTTTCACTTTTCACCAAAATGCTTTATACCATAAAAGAGTATCCAACATCTTATAAATAGCTCCCATTTCTTTTCTAATTTCTTACACGAGACTTTGTTCATATGCACCGAATAATTTTTTAATACAATGAATTCTTAACCAATAGTTTCAAAAGTAAATGTGTTCGGTGCGAAAAATCTTGAAGGTACCCATCCAGTTCAAATCCTGAATCTTTATAACAACAACAACAACATACCCCATATAATTCTACAGATCGAAAAAATCCTGAATCCTCCTTTGTCTGAATATTTGCCTTTTTGTTTCTTGCAGGTGATTTATAGCTGTCGTTTTTTTGCTATTCTTGCAGTTTGGGGTTCGTTAATTGGATCATTTCTTTGTTTTATCAAGGTACTCTTTAAGTATTTCTTTGACTGAATATGAGTACATAATGATTAAAGAGACGGAGCCAGAATTTATAATTTATGAGTTTTGGATCATAGTTTCTTTTTGTTTAGCAATTAATGACGCGTTAAGTGAAGTTAAAAAAAAGTTGAACCAAGACTCAATGGTTCGCCTATCGACAAATAATTTTGAAATGACGAAGGATTACTGCTGAATGGGACTCAACACTCCCCTTCTATACTACTTATAGCAATTTACTTACGATACTTATAAGTTGACATTCATAAAAAAACATCTAACAAATTCTGTGTTCAATTCATCTTATTTAGCAGAAAGACAGATATTCCTTGCTCATTATCAGACAATCACTTATTCACGAATTTATAGTTTATGAGTTTTGGACCATATTTTTTTCTTGTTAACTGAGTTTTGAATACATTATTTATACATATCAAATGAGTTTCTTAATTGTCTTAGCAGGGGACTCTGCTGTTTTCCCTTAACTTCTTCCCATTATGCAAGAATAGTTGGTTGATCGATTGATTAGTTTCGATAAACAAATTTTGTACAATGTGAAAACTTTCCATATCTTCTTTGTTGCAGAATGATTGTGTAACTTGTTTCCATATGTAGGGTTGCACTTATGTAACAGCATCATTCCAAGAATATTTTCGAAGTCGAGCAAACGTCATTTTGTTGCTTGTTGAGGCTATAGGTAAGCTTGTAGATAGCACTTACTACTTGCATTTTCACTCCTGCAATGATCCTTTACTTGTTGTGTGCGTGTTGATTTCATTACGATGCATAGAAAGCCATTGTACCTCCTAATGGTTCTTAAAAACTTATCGCGCAATCAATGAGTTTTCACTTCATTTATCCAAGTTTCTTGAGGCTTTTTGTAATGTAAACAAGAAGAGGGGGATGTAAAACGTTACTTCTTAACAGAGGGGAAAGGAAACCTTGGAACAACGGTAAAGTTGTCTCTGTGTGACCTACTAATGCTTGAGCCCTGGAAATAGCTACTAATGCTTGCATTAGGTTAGGCTGTCTACATCACACCTCTTGGGGTGCGGCCCTTTCAGTACAGACCCTGCTAACACATGATGCTTTGTGTACGGAGCTGCCCATTTACTTCTTAACAGATGGAAACGACAAGTTCTTCCGCGAGTTTTGTGTATCACAGGAGTCAAAACCAGACTTTCCCTATTACACAGGGCCATAAACACAAAACTCTACCAATATTTAAAGAAAACTTGTTCTTTCAGCAGTTGTTTGTATTGCTAAAAGTTGAAAGCCTTTCCTTAGACCCTGCTACCGCAGGATGTTATGTGCATTAGACCATCCATTTTTCCTACTATAATTTAAAAATCGGTTTTTATGCAGTACTAATATAACTATTTCAATTTCTACTCTAGATATATATCTCTTAGGCACAGTGATGTTAGTCTTTGGCATGGGTCTCTATGAGCTCTTCATCAGCAACCTTGACAAGTTAAAATCAACGTCGGAGGAAAATTCTCCGTATCAATCAAATTTGTTCGGGATGTTCACTCTAAAGGTTAGTTTGTATACCTTAAAAAACATCTCTTTTGGAGCTAACCAGTAGCGGAGTCACCCTTGTCTTCAATCCCCTTGGATTCTTCGTATGTTTCCTTATTTCCATACTGACTTTTCTTAGTGAAAATCCTGGTTTTGCCACCGGAGCTAACAACTACATATTAGTCATGTTTCTTGCACATAACATCTTCTTATCGATACAATTGTCAGGAACGACCAAGATGGTTGGAGATAAAAACTATTAGCGGAATGAAGACTAAAGTTGGTCATGTTATCGTGATGCTTCTTCTCATCGGTCTGTTCGAAAAGAGTAAGAAGGCTGTTATAAACACACCATTAGATCTCCTTTGCTTCTCAGCTTCAGTGTTGCTATGCTCTGGCTGCCTATATTTACTTTCAAGACTCACTGAGGAGCATTGATCATTTTTTTCTGTTTTGTAATTTGTATAATCCAAACTGTTTTAAGTCTCTGTGCATTGCTACACCTCTCCGAAAATGATATCGTACTCGTGTCAAATGTACTACTGTTAGAGGATCCGACAGCCACCTATTGACATTTTTAAAGAGTCTGAGCAACACAAATTCAAATCATGTATAATCTTGTGAAGATATGTATACTATTGTCTTTGGCTGACTTTGTATCAATTATCTCTTTTTTGCTAAACTATTTTGCATCATTCATTAGTAGTTGAAACTTTTTACTATAAACTACTCCACGTCCCAAATTAAGTGACACATTTTAATTTTCAAGAGTCAAACCGTTTAAGTTTGATCGAGAATTTGCTCAGAGAATCTTCAATTTTAAAAAAATGATATTTATATATTTGTAAACTACGTAAAAAGTATTATAAGTCGTCACGATAATTGACAATCAAAATATTTAAGAGACATATGAAAAAATTTCAGTCAAAGATAAACTTGTTTGAATCTCGAAATCTGAAATGTGTCACATAAATTGAAACAGGAGAGTAATTTTACCGTGAAACATTTAAAAGTAAATAAACTTAAATCTCTAAACTAAATTTTGTAAGTAAAGGGTTGTTTCATAGTTGGTTGGAGTTATCCAAATACTAGTAATGTAGGGATTAGTTATAAGTAAATTTATGTATTATTTTATACATATATTAGTTATGCTGAAATAAATTCATATTTTTATCATGCATAAAATAATAATACATTTCCTCATAACTTAATAACCAAACATTATTATCAGTATTATGCAAAACATTAGTAATACACAAATTATACACTATATTCCACATTGCTTTTATACACTATATCAAATAATCCCATACAACTTTTAAAAACTATCAACTGCTCCTATTTCATACATAACTTCGAAAGAAAAGATATTGCACCCTTCGTTTAAAAAAGAACGACTTTCTTTCATTTTTAATCAGTTTTTTAAAAAATATCACTCTCCTTTTTTGACAATATTTTAATTTGAATTTTTCACTTGACTCGTAACATGTTTAAGACCACAAGATTAAGTAACATTTGAGTACATTTGATATCTTTAATTTATTATCATAATATTGAAAAAACTTTTTATTTTCTTAAATTTTGTGTCAAGTCAAGCTAAGTTATTTTTTTTTAAATGGACAGGTAATTACATTTGAAAATGGACCAAATATAAAAGGAAGATAAAGCGGTAAAATTTTTCAAAAAATAAATAAATCAAAACTCAAAAAATAACCTCATTTTTTCAGTCTCCCGCCATTGTTGAAGAAATGGAGAAAACAAAGGAAGAAATTGCAGGAACAAGGCAGACGAATTTGAAAACTGCATTTGAGCTTGGAATTCACACTTTGTTAACTTCCTGTTCTAAAGAGGTACAATTTTTTTAAAGTTTTTTTGAGAAATACAGATTCATAGATTGTATAAACCCTAGAAAACAGTTCTTTAATTGTTTATCTTCCTTTTTTTCATGAATTAATTGAAGGGATTTTGTAAAGCTTTCCCTAATTTTGCTCCAGCAGAAGTTGAACGCCTTCATCGGTTGTTCATTCAGGTTAGCCTTTTGTTCTTATTCTATTCGTTTGTTTTGAAAAAAAATCTAAGGGATTCGGAATTCGAGAAATTCGGAGCATTTAATTTCTCGAATTCTAAGGACTTGGGAACTGGGTTTGGAGAAATTGCGATTTTTTAGTTTTCTAAGGGGTTTAGAATTTGAGAATTTGGAAGGTTTAGTTGGAAATTGGAGCTTGGAGAAATTGTGATTTGTTTTATTTTTAAGCTTAGTTCTAGATATGTAGCATTTTTAACTAGTTTAATTTTTTTTCCAGGTGATTACTTCTTTGCACGAGGATATAGAGGTATGCTATTAGTACAATTTTAATGTTTTGTTTCGTTCTAGATGAAATTTAATGTATGGAAGTATGGTATTGTTATTTCAGAGAGTGAAGGTTTTGGTAAAAAAAGTTTTTTTCTTTAAAAGAACATCTTGGTTTGTTTGTGATTACTGTTGAGCTTGTTTGATTGGTGGTTTCAGTGCATACTCCCAAACTCAAGCATCTTTGCCTTTTGTTTTCCTTATTTAGTAGTATTAGTTAGTATTCGTGTAGTATCCTGTTCTTCAATTTTTACTCTTGTGTGTTGCTTCTTTTGCTTTGTCCATCTTGTTGTTTTGTTGCTATTATTTTCTTTTCAGTCTTACTTTTGATTTCTCTTCTTTTGAGCTGATGGTCTATTGGAAACAACCTCTCTACCTCACAATGGTATGGATAATGTCTGCGTACATCCTACCCTCCCCAGAGGCCACTTGTGGGATTACGTTGGGTATGTTATTGTTGTTGTTGTTGTTGCACATGTGATGTCAGTCCGATATTAGGTGTTTCTCTTTCACGAAAAGCCCAACTGCTGGTCGGATTGTATCCCTGAATAAACAGTGGACCATGCTTGATGCTTCTGGCTTAGATAGTGTTTTTATGAATTACTAGTGTTTTGCTTCTGGAATATCATAATTCAACATCAGTTAGAACTTAGAAGTTACACAAATAACAAAGGCCAAGTCCTTCTTACTCTTGCTTTCTTTTTGTTTCATGTGCTATCTCCTCTCCATTAAGAGTAATTAGAAGAATTATACTTTTACTTCATTTCTTCAAGTTTCATGTCCATCTCTTCCCTCCCCTCCTTCCAAAAGGAAGAAAAGAAATATTGATGCATAAGTTGAATATGTACTTGTATTTTGTTTGAAACTTCTAATTCAAGTCTTCATTTCTTCACAACATGGCTAAGAGGTCATCTGGATAATAGTTCTCATTTGTGGAAAGATAATACATCCCGAGTGTCCCCCAATTAAGTTTATTTGACCTGAATATTGACTTTATTTTTGCTATTGCTATGGTGCTATTTTGACGTATTATTCCATGTTGGCTAGTGAACTTATAGAATTTCAATGAGTTTCTCATTTCAAATTGATCAGATATATTAGTTGTTAGATTTTGTTATCCTCTCCTTTAAGGGCAATATTGAAAGTGTTGTCTGTTTCAAATGTTGCAGGATGAATTTGAGTCTTTATGCGTGGAGACACAGGTACATATCATATGCTTCTTACTTAATTAAAGTTATCTAAGAAAAGATGCAATCCTGTTAGATTTTCATCCATATTTTTAAGGTCAGTAGAACAATAAAGATTTGCAAAAGTTGCACCTTCGGTCTATGAGGACTGCCAAGTGCTAAATGGTCTTCAGTTGAACGCTGCACTAGAAAATTTTCAGCATGTGGATGTTTTGACCAAGATATAAGTTGTTATTGCACTTGCTCTTCTTCTGGACTAACTCTGAAGAGAGTAAAGCATTGCTGAGGATCCTATGTTGTGGAAAGGAGAGATTCTTTCAAAATATGTACCCATTTTACATCTGGATTATCAAATGTGCTTCCTAGAAGTCTCTTTCGTAATATTGAGAATTTTAGATAAATCTTTGTTTTCATATGGATCAACTGTAGGCTAACCTCCAGATTAGAAGTTCATTTACTGTGATTACTTAGAACAAAAGTTCCATGCATTGAAAACTGTTTGGAGAGGTCTGGCTTGAAAACCTAGTTTTTATTGGAGAAGAGATTCATAAGAGAAGGAAATTAAGCTATCTGAGAAATTTCAAGGATGGACCAAAAATATCCCTTTAAATTCTTTTGGTTCCCATCTGTGTTTGTTTTATTATGTTCTTATTATAGCACACACAAATCAATGTTATAGAAGAGAAACGCCACTATGTTCACATTTCTGCTGTTGTGAGACTGATTTATTTTATTAGGAAAAATGCATTGGTTAATACCATTTCCTTTGATGTGAAGTTAAATTGGAAAGCTTATGTGAGTTCTAGTTGTTAAGTTGGAATAATGTGCCTGATATGGTTTTCCTTGGGATCAAATTTTCTACTTGTAGGCAGGATCAACTCTCAACATGGTGGAGCAGCTTGTGGAAGAACAAAACTTGGACCCTTTGTTTCCAGAGAAGTATGCTTACTCCCATTCAGATAAATTGCATAGCCAGGATTAAAATGGTTTTCTTCACCACTCGATTGTTTCGGCAAAAGCATTCTGGAATTCCATTATTTTCTGTCTTGGTCGCATTGCGTGTAGGAAATTTCTTTTATCAAGACTTCTATTTTGTCAAGTAACCACCATCATCCTGGTGAATCAGTTTGACTGAAAGAATGTTGATGGTTATCAAGGCTTCTATTTTGTCAAGTATTAATAGGTTCTCTTTAGGTCTTATGTCTTCCATGCTTGTAGAAAATATAGAGAAGCATCTAGTACTTCCTATTTTTATTTTGTATAGCATTTGTCCGAAATGAGCTTAACTGTGGAGCGCCATGGTTAGTGAGGATTCATATAGCTTGAGCCCAATTTGTTTGGGATTTGAGGTTCTGTGTATATAGAGATGTCATTGCCTAGTCTATGAGAAGTACCTTGGCCAAATATTATTTCAATCTTAACATATTCCCTTCTATTCAAGGATGAGGTATTCCATAACACCTCTAAATTTCATGAAAGAGAACGCTACAAATTCATGTTTTAAGACTTCTTCCAGTATCTTGTTTCTATTAAGTATAATATCCAGTAATTTTGCAGGAGCAATGTTGAAGAAGTCAGGCACTACCTATCAGAAGCAAAACAGAATGAGATCAACTACTTGACGACTATGTTGGAGACGGTAATCTCTTGTTATTTCTTGCAGTCCTTTCATAAACGAAGAGCTTGTGCATCATTTTTCAAGAGACATGCATATAATTTCTTAGACTGATTGGTTGACATCCTAAAAATGATTTGTTAGGCAGAAGAACAGAAACGTTCCATCACTTCTCGTCTTGAAATCCTGAAGAAAGAAAGACATGATTTCTCTGATGCTGCTGCTACAGACATTGTTAATAAGGTACTACTTTCGTGTAATGGTAACACAAGTCTCTCAGCTTAAAGTAATCTCTTCGTCTTTCTCCGTGGATCCCTGCTGAAAACAGTTGTTTACTTGCAATTTCTTCAGATACGAACTGGGAATCAGAAGTACAATACGAACAACAATATTGGCTTCAA